GGGAAGAGCCCATACGCATTAGTCCCCCAGGCATAGCCAGCCCAGCCAGCCTGTTTAACCCAGCCCGCCCGGGCTGTCCGGTCGGCTAGGCTAGCCGGGGCAGCTGCTGGAAAGCTGGCTCTGTTGACACCAATGTAGTAGGTAGTAACTACTCTTGTTTCCCTACTACCAGCTGCAACCTACTACGTATTTCTTGACAACCTCTTCGCCTCTATACGTCTCTTTCGTACCCTACGGAATCAATAAGTTGGAGCTTCTGGTACCTGCCGGAAGGATAGTGGGATAGATAAGATCCTAGTTGCCGAGAAAGAGACTGAAGGACGGGGTATCCCCTGGGGGGAAATACACTGTATCCCTACTTTAGATGGGGAGGTAAGCTGCTAGCCTGCCCAGCCCTGCCCAGCCCAGCTAACTAGGAATTAGGTCAATCGATTCACCTGGAAGTATAATGCCCTCGTAGTCTTCCTGTCAACTGTCTTCTAGGACGGCCAGGAAGTTATTCACAGCCGCCGCCGCCCAACTGGAGACACTGCTGCTAAAAAGACTGCCCGGTAAGTCTTTGGACTAGACGTCCGCAAGGACCTTCCAATCCCTAGGGCAATTGATGAGTACAATCATAAGATGAATGGGGTTGATATGAGTGACCAGATGAGGTCCTACTATCAATATAGCCACCCTATTCGTCGAGGAGGCTGGTAGTCAATTACTTGGAATTTCCTACTGGAAGTGGTAGTTGTGAATAGTTTCTTATTACAGCTCTGGGGCAGCCCTAGGTGGTAAAAGGTGAAGTCCTATTACCAATGGCGGCAGTTGCTTGCAGCCTAGCTTATCCAGCAGTTTGGACCATTAGCAGGGGGGCGGAAGCATTCCCGACTTGGACGGGCTACAGATAAAAGGAATACTTCTATTCCATGGGAATACCATAGGAAGGGATCAAGGGGAGCTAACTTACTTTGTTCCTACTATAGTAATAAGGGGGTATTAAGGGCCCGACGCCAGACCCTAGGTATAGTATTTGGGAATAGCCGAAGAAAAGGACGCGGAAGGGCTGCTTAGACTGTAATGTAGCTCTTTGTATTGAGGGAGACTGCTGGTACTTGTGGTATACCCAAAATCTATAGGTAATAGAGGTACTTTTACTCTATTGGTTAGCTTGATTAATATAGAAGCCCTTATTGGCTCTACCCCGCCCTTGGCAAAAATGGAGCTATTTCGCACCCGATGGGATAGGAACAAATGAGAGAATCACGTGATGACGCACGTGATGGGCTGACTACAGAGTGCTGATGCTATTTGACGGAAACTATATGTACCCACAACTACCTAAATGCAGTAGAGGGATCTCTCTTTTGTATATGGCGCAACGGTACAATTCCGAATTCTGTCACTATTCCTATTTCGTGACAGAAAGGCAGCCCAGAGACGTCCCACATAGAGGAGACCAATTTCTTTTCCGAGATATGCCCGAGTCATTGAACAGGAACGTTAGGTGAAGACGGTAGCCTGTAACATAGTTTAGATTAGCATAGACCATGTCGGCATAGCGCCCGGCACGTCCTTTTGTTACCAGACGTTAAATACATCATCATCAACATCATCAGAGACGACCCAGACGAGGAGAAGAGCAGTTTCAAACCCATCGAAAACGAGTAATGATGAAATAGACGATTAAATTTTGTGGGACAGGCATCCACGAGCCTGGTGATTCCCTGGTCATTGCTCTTTAGTTACGTTACATAATCCAAGCTTGCCGGCATGGAGTCCCATCTTGGCAGCTCCATGACCGAATTTGGATGGAACTCGGCGGTAGGGCGATTCCAGACTCTTGACATCGACATGATTTTCTCTTCATTGCACGATCCATCTGGGTCAAGCAGATCAAGAGTCATTCATACCAGTCAGCAACGCCTATTCGTACACAGACGTACATTGGTTCGCACTTTTTGCCCGATTGTGGCAGTCATATCCAAGGGAAATGTTACAATATATCTGCAAGGGTTTGGAAGAATGGATGACCTCCGTAATGCAGATTTCGGAGGCATCAATTGCCAACTGTTACGGCGCGCAGATAATCGCCTTTGTACGGATAGGACTGACTCATTGGGCAACTCTCAGACTTCCCAACATTGCCTTGTCCTCATTTTAGCTCACGAGCAAGATTTGGAGGACGTCAGGATACGGCGTGTACTATATAGTATGCAGCTAGAGCCTGCGACCTTTCACGCCACATACCCTCCGGGAGGTCTGCCGCAAGGGCGGCTGCGCCCTTGCCGCCATGGCGTTAAATAGAACAACAACAACAACAACATCAACAACAGCTTGACTGGGTTGGAAAAAGATATGAACGGTTTTTATGTTCCATATTCACGTAGTAGTTGTCCATCAGCCTCATGAACTCTTTCCCTCCGACACCTAGTGGTTAGTGGTCCACGAGTTTAACGTAGTTTTGCAATTAAGCATAATGCTTGACATCTTTCCGACCAGACCTTCACGCATCGGCTCTCGTTAAAGTTAGGCTTCTTGACAGAATCCATGCATGCTTCTACGCGAGTCATGGACATAACCCATTCGGAATGGTCTGACCATCACGAAACAGGCCAGACTGTCATTTCCACCTGGTCCTAGCTCTGCAAGACTTATTAGGATAGCATTAGGCCCACAAGCCTGTGGTGATTCCATCCACTCTTTAGTACGAATAGACGCTCTTTTCTGCTCACTCACATATGCATATTCCGCTGGCCACCCTGACTAACCGTCACTTCTCCGGAATCCGAGAGCGAACGCCCCACTTCAGCTGCATCCAATCTAATAATAATCAAACTCGGAAGTCAAGGGGCTTCCCCCTTTTAAGCACAGCAATCGATAACTACCCATAACAAATGCATGTAAACGGGAATCCCACGGGCTTAGAGGCGGGGACTGGGGAGTGAAGGGATACGAGATGCATGGGTCAAGACGGGGGAAAACATCACTTGATGGAATACATTTCCTGCGTAACACCTCCAATTCTCCGTCTCGACCTTCCCAGGGTAAGTGAGGAAAATTGAGCCGTTTTATTGCAGCAACTAGCAAGACAATACTTCGATTCGATAGTCTAGATATTCTGATTCCCCTGGTTCCATAATCCGCAATTCTACTAGTATTGATCTGGCAATTTGGCAAGATGTGCCTCGGATGTCATGATGGGGAAATTCCCGCCTGGATCCCAAGCGAAAAACACCAGGCCAAGTGCGAACTTCGTATCAAATCGCTGCCCTTCCATCGCGCGCTTCGAATGCTGCAAAACAAGGGATCGGAGGCCCCAGCATTTTCTTCTGGTTGGGTGGGATTACTGCTGTTCAAACCTTCGGTGGTCAATGAAGAGAATAGTAACTTCGCTTCAACACTCGATGGTTGCTAGTTTCGTCTATGGAGAGCTTGGTCTCATAACACCCAATCTTCTTTGTTGGAAAGGAATGTCGGGTAAATGATGATGGACTTTCGGATCTCTAGGTAGCTACTTCATGTTCCGTCTGCGACCTAAGCTGCTGCGACGAACTCACCCATCCATGCTGTTGACATAATGATTAGTAGGTAAAGTAGTCATATTGCGAAGGCCCGCATGCAATGGACGCTGGATCAGAATAAGTACATTCGTCAGGTACTCAATATTCAACGATTGACGGGATTAGTACTACTAGTGGTGTCCTGCTGTTAAAGATGAGTAGTGCTGTCGGATTGGAAGCCCAATTCGACCGTGAGTAAGGGTAGAGCAGGGGCCACCTCGAGAGGGTACAATTACACCTCGACGGTCCACCTAACCTCCGGTTGGAATCTCCCTTCTACTCCTTACGCAGAATCAACCAATACAGAGATATTGATACTTCGTCACCCCCAGGACCCTACGGTTCGAACCAACTTCCCTGTGATAGGGATACCAACAAGTGCCCATCCTTAATCGTAAATCCCAGTCCATGCTTGCAACAAGCCCACAACGAAATCCTCATTCTTACTGACGAGTATATACGACTGCGGCAGGAAGAAACTGCGGAGGGCCTGGTCCGATCGGATGACGATGACTTTGCCCGAAAGCATGAGTCCACCTGATGTTGCCACTTTGGGCGGCAAGCGAGTCCTAAACTCGGTTGGTTTCGAGGGTCGTTGCGAGCGTCTTCCACCTGAGTACAGTCCCAGCGTTCGACACTAAAGAAGATGCGCAGAGTTGCGAACACGGCACAAGCTTCGGGGTGCCTCTGGTCGATAGTGCTTGATCGGCTCTACATTCTCGGTCCATACAACATTTAGTGACTGATAAAGGTCAAGTACTGCCGTAGTCAACACTTGATCGCTGTGTGAGAGGAATTTTAACGCTTTCTCGCGGGTTTCGGCAATTTTCGAATGACACTCGCGATGAGGAGTGTGGGACACAGAAAGGGTTCCAGCTGGTTGCGACGTCGGTGACGGGCTTGCGGTTTCGTCGTTGCTGTCATTTTGTGCCTCAGCTCTCTCCCATGCATCATCTCATGTCATGCCGTCCGATTCCTGCAGGGAAGTCCCGATATCTTGCAAGAGTATGTCGATCTTATGGTCCAATCATGTTGATAAGTCTCTGATCGATGTGACGTGTACCTGGTTCTGCAAGGTTCAACCTCAAACATGCCCGTCTGATATCTGACCATCCGAAGAGCCGGAGGTACTGCGTTGACTGCCATCTGCCGCAGGGTAGTATGAGCTTACATCGTCTCACGATATCACTGCACATTACAAAAGGGATCGATTCGTCAAATATTTAAACTTGATGTGGTTCTGATTCATCCTAACATCTTTCATTTAATCAATGAGTTGAATTCAATTCGCTTCCTAGGTTCTGTGAGCCTCGTTTCAACATCGTCCGCACCTCATTTCAGCCCTCCAGACCTTCCCTTGTCCGAGCATTTCAATTACTCCTACGTTTCCATCATCGCTCTTGTTCATCTAATCTTGAAGAAGAAGTCTCAACAGTCATTCCAACTACCTACAATATGCGACCCACTATCGCCTTTTTTGTACTCTTCGGCGCACCTAGCGCATCGGCTGCCATCATTCGCCGACAGGCCAATCACGCTGATTTCGGCAAATGCACTCCAACAATGGATTTTCAACTGGGCCGTACTGGACGCAAGCCAGATCAAGGCACTTTCTTGCCAACTGATACCCTCGTAGCCAAGGGTCAACAAGACGCGCTGAATCCAAACATCATCACGAATCGAATTTGCGACCAGCTCACCAACGTATGCGAGGCGAACCAAGCTGCAAAGGACCAATGTCAGCAGGCCAAGGCTCAGGTCTCTGCGGCAGGCGTCAAAGATGCTTCTGCTGCAACAATGTTCAATAGTGCTCTGGGTTTCTAGGCAGGAACACTATCACTCTAATCCCACTTCATTGGGAGTTGCGAGCTGGATTGGAAATTTGTGTCATATAGTCTGCCACCGTTTCGCCTTCATTTTAAGGGCCGAAGTCAACTCGAATGGCTTGTTTAAACAGTCCGTAATACTTCCTATGCCATTCGATTCTATGTCCAATGTTCTAAGTGCAGAAACCTAGCAATCTACCTCACATGAAGAGAGTGTATGCAAAGAAAAACAGCATTGTTGTTGGTATGCACTTCAGTAGGGCGGATCTTTCGGTCGCGGCGAGGTCAATAGTACTGTCAGAGCCCTTCCGGATAGGGGTTAGTTAGAGATAGTAAGGGGTCCAAGCAACAAAGGAGCAGCTCAGATATATATACAGCGCAGGGAGTACACGTCGAGGGAGGAGTAGATTTCAGTAATTCATCCTTTTACCACTAAGTGCAGTTGGCCTCTGAGAGCTTCCACCCTGTGTCAGCACCACTACTTGACAAGTACTGTATTGGTCTATTGCCCGTGAGGTGGAAGGAGGAAGAATTGGGCGAAGCCCACGGTCCCTCCAGAAGTGCTGAGCAGCCCGTGAGTGTGGGCCTCAGCTACCTTCCAGATCCACCCTTTTCTGCCTACTGCCCAGAGATTCCAACAATTGTGATTGCACATCAGTGTGACTTGATGAGGGAAAAGGATTGGACTATCATACTACGAAAACAGTCCTCCAAGTTCCGGAATCAGTCATCCGAATCCTCAGGGTATAAGATGTCGAATAGAAAAGACCCCACGCGCAATCATCTCTCCCTTGAGAACGAGTGTGACTCTGAATTTGCCCGGGGAGTGAGCAAGTTAATTACAGGTTCAGAATTTGGCATATAATTAGAAGTGCGGAAGTGGAATCAATGGGAAATGGTTGGACCAGAATTAATCTAGACCCATAAAGGTTTGTCGTAGACCAGCCGATGAGACCGCAATGATCCGGGTGTCCCAGATGAGGGATTTTCCTGGCTGCATTGGAGGAAGATAGTCAATGTGGTCGCGATTATCCACGACAACTTCACTCTTCACACATTACCCATTGAAATGGCTCATGAGCGGCAGTCTACTGCAGATATAACTCAACATTGAGCTACCCTACACAGCCTCATTCAGAGGTTACCTACAGAAAATCGCGCAACCTTTGACTCATGTTATCAAAGTTTGAGGGCAACCTTCACTCTGCAAGCTGCAGCAATTCGAAGGTTGGAAGACGAGATCCAACATCTGCGTGCCCCTAGAGCGGCCTCTTCTAGCCGACCGATCCGACAGACTTCCACTCCATCACGCCTGGTCGCCCGCACAGATAACACACCGACATCGACCAGGCCGCACATCACATCGCGACCTCTTCCAGCGATATCCAAGATCAAGGGGTATTACTCAACGACGCTTCGTCTGACTATCCCATCCGCCCAACCTCCTCACAGTCGGTTCTGGACGTCCGCACAACTATTGACAACTAGATCAATCAGCCCGTGCATAACCTCAAGCCCTCGCCAGGTATCCAAATTGCCAGCAATCTATCTCCAAGCTTTGTACTTGGACGATTACAATGTTTACGTAGCGATCATTCTAATAACCTTGGCTATTGGTTCTCTACCAACACACCGTCCCATAAGCAATATACGAAAGTAAATTAGAGGAAAACCCATAACCCTAATAGTTCTGGTTTTATTAGTATCCAGCTTTATAGACACCAACTCGCTATTATAGCCAAGGGACAAAGTTATGCATTAAAGCAGACATCAGGTAAAGATGCTCAATACCAAGTATCACATCTATGTCATCAGGGCGGTTGCTTTAATCCTGCTCATATCATTGTGGAAGAACGAGAGCTAAACAGAGTACGTAATACCTGTCAGTATAAATATAAGATCCAGCTACCTGGTGGAACTATAATTGACCCTTGAGAGCATTGGTATTGGAATGGAACTTCGAGGCGGAAGTGTATTTTACCTACAAGACTCGTACCTACTACTGCAGCGTAGGTTGATGCCACCGCTAAGGGTCCGATAGTTAGAACCGGGCGATCAGGACCTGACCAGTGTTAACAGCACTCATTCTCTACAATAAAACGTACCTTGTGTTCTTCGGTTTCTGCATCTCACCCTTCGCATTTTCAAGTTGGCCTCAGAGTCTTGGATATCATGATTTCCCGCGTTTGGCTTGAAAGAAATAATTCCAGAATGAAACTAACGTACCTGCATAGCGAGCGACGCATCATAGCGAGCGACGCACTCTCTCAAACCTTTCTACCTTATGTATAAGTTAACTTAGCCACAACGTACGAAATCAATTAAAACTATATATCACCCTCTTCCTCATTACTATCCCAAACCACTTCACAGGTTCGTGCGTTATGTCCAGGCTTCCCGCAATTACCACATCGTCGCGCGCGTGGTTCAGCACCTTCCGTACGACCCTCCTTCTGAGGGTTATTCTCTCCTCCAGCATTAACACCACCCTTCTCTACTTGTAGTGCCTCTGCTTCAGCACTATTAAGTGACCCTCCAAGACGTAGCCGGGTCTTTTTTGCCCTCCGGCGCTTACTTAGTACCTCTATCCCCGTACGAAGCTTACGGTTCTCAGCCTCAATAATAGCAAGCCTATGGGCTAACTTGCTAATACCTCTGGCCTGGAAGTCAATTACTTCGTACATTGGTGTTGGTGAGCTACCTTGATGTGCTTGGATCTTCCTTTTAAGGGAGGTAGCACTTCGTACGCCCTCTAGTGCTGTAATTGGTGTCCTTGGGTCCCAGGAGCCTTGGCTGCTTGGCCGTGAGTTTGATGGTGTTGGCGTCTTTGGCTTGAAATCCAAGCGAGAAATAACCACTTCAGGGTTAAAAGGTACAAGGCCTGCCTGCCTAAAACCAGCTCGTACGTTATTTTCGCCCATGGAAGTAAAGAATGCTGCTTTAAAGGCAGGAAAGAAGTCATCCTTTGTAATATGGGAAATCTGTATCCGCATCATCTTCTCGATTTCCTTGCCGTACGAGTACTTTAACGGGCTAAAGCACCCAACATCAAGAGGCTAAAGCTCGTGTGATGAATGGGGAGGCATACAAAGAGCAATAATGTTTTGTTCCTTGCAGTATTCGTCAAAGTCAGTCGATTTATGACTATTATGGCCATCAAGGATCAAGAGGCGATAAGAGCCCTTCGTACGAGTCCTTGTACACTGATTAAAGTGCTTTAGCCAATCTAGGCCAATATCATTTGTCGTCCATCCATTTTCGCTTGGATGGATACGCCATGTGGCTGGAAATTGGCCATTAATATACCACGAGAGGAGGTGATATTTGCCCTTTACGATGACGTACGGAGGCAGCGCCCAGCCATCCGCACATACACCCTGAATGACAGAAACCCATTCTCGATTGCCAGGCTGTTTCGTACGAGGCCTTCCCTTACGGTCAGAAGTCGTAACAACCTTTGCGTGCGATAGCATTCCCATCAGGAAACCAGTCTCGTCAAAATTATAGATATCGTTATCCTGTATCCCATACTTTGCAATTGTGTTTCGCACAAGTGCAAACCAGCCTTGTATAATCGTAGGATCCTCAGCTAAGGCCCTCTGATAGTCGATTCGACGTTGAAACCGCATTTTCAATTCAGGGACGCGTCGTACGAAGTTCTCTGCCCATCGCGGTCCAGTACGCGTCCCATCGCGTGCGTTTAGGAGTTGGTCGGCCATTTCTCGTACGTCTTCTTGTCGCGGAGGGAACCCTCGATCGATTAGGTCAATAACTCGTTCAAGAATCACCTCCTCTTCTGTTATAGTCATCTTCATCGAATTTGGTCGTGTTTCACCTCGTGCGACGCGTCCAGCGCGTCGGTGGCGGAGGGTTGATTCAGGGACCTCATAGATAGAGGCAGCTCTTCGTATAGACATTTTCGGGTCTTTTTCAATAGCTTGGAGGGCAAGGGTAATTCGACTTTCAATTGAGGAGGATTGCATGTTCGTACGTGGAGAAAAGGTGACCTAAAGATGAAGAGGGTAGAATTGGGAGGACGTGCGTCGCTCGCTATGATGCGTCGCTCGCTATGCAGGTACGTTATAGCCTTATAGTAATTATAAAACGACGTAAGATAATAGAGATCTGTTAGACTAATAGCGACGATAACCTCGCCAACGCCTTCATTAAAGCGAACCCTAACTAAGGGTTAAAAAGCTCTATTAATAAGATAAAGGTGTTACGACCCAACATGAAGACCAGGGCGTGCCCCGCTGACGCCTAGCGGCTACGGCGCATCATATATGCAGGACGGGACGGAACATTGGGGAAACCCCAGGAACGGAAGAACTATGGTACAAGTCACGTGATGATAAGAGATACGATAAGGGATAAGGATATGTTGGATATGCGACATATCCAACCGAGTCAAGGATATGTTGGATATTCGACATATCCAACCGAGTCAAGGATATGTTGGATATTCGGCATATCCAACATATCCAGACAAAGTGGACTGTACAGCACTGTTCAGTTAGGATCGGACTTGTATATAAGGATGGACTCGAGCTGGGCTCTAGGACAGACTTTCCATAGCTCTTCAGCAATTAACTTCGTATCAGGATTAACATCCGCTTTCAGCTACTACCTTGACAAGACTACGATTGATCATCGAAGCCTTACCTACCCTTACGATTGACAGACATAGTTTCCTTGAAACTATTCCTGGACTACGATTACTGTTACCAGTTCCGCAGCCTCAACTTCTGCAAACTACCCCTACGACTAGCTGGCCGTAACAAAAGGCTATAGTATAAATAGAGGGATAGGTTATATGGAAGGACCTCGGAAGGAAGAAAAAGGGGCGTATTAGATAGCATTACTTTTCTATATATTTATATAACTTCGCAGTATTCAAATTATACTTCTAATCGTACTAGTTAGATAATAGAAGAGAGAAATAGTTAGTGTCGGATTAGAAGCCCAATTCGACCGTGAGTAAGGGTAGAGCAGGGGCCACCTCGAGAGGGTACAATTACACCTCGACGGTCCACCTAACCTCCGATTGGAATCTCCCTTCTACTCCTTACGCAGAATCAATCAATACAGAGATATTGATACTTCGTCACCCCCAGGACCCTACGGTTCGAACCAACTTCCCTGTGATAGGGATACTAACACTGATCAGTGGTTAAATTCCACTATCGTAGATGAGCAAGGCATCTCGCAAAAGCAGAAAAGACGACCCTTTAATACCGAACGGGATAGAGGAATTGTGCTCCCTTAACCTCTCGAATCTCATAAGAGGAGGCGTCCATTACGTCAATAACGCCTTCGACGGTCGACCAGCCAGACGCCTCGAGCACCCAACCACCGACAAAGGACCCTTTACTTATACTAACTGTCGGAACGGCAAGGCTGATAAGGAGCAATGGGCAGGTATCGTGGGCTGGCTGGCGCCTGCCCTGGGCGAAGTGGGACAACCGGCTTAGTCATCACGGCCGGTTAAGGTGGGGCAACCGCCCAGGCCGTCCCCACCTACTTCGATCGGCCCCTGCCCACAATGTAAATAGGAAGAAGAACAAGAACAACAACAGCAATTATCACGGACATCGACGTGATTGTTGCCGAAGATACACCCTCATGAGGAAATGTATCACGCCTGCAATACCAACACTAACTTCCTCATAGCAAGACCGCAAATCTAAGTCTATTAAGTATACTACAAGCGGCTAGCCCATATAACAAATAAATCTATTTTCAACAAACCGTAACTTATACCTATATAATAATATACTAACTATATTTTCCGACGTATAAAGTACGAGCCTTTCGACCTAAGTATAAAAGGGCACCACGTAACCAAGTGTTACGGCCAGCTAGTCGTAGGGGTAGTTTGCAGAAGTTGAGGCTGCGGAACTGGTAACAGTAATCGTAGTCGTGGAATAGTTTCAAGGAAACTATGTCTGTCAATCGTAAGGGTAGGTAAGGCTTCGGTGATCAATCGTAGTCTTGTCAAGGTAGTAGCTGAAAGCGGATGTTAATCCTGATACGAAGTTAATTGCTGAAGAGCTATGGAAAGTCTGTCCTAGAGTCCAGCTCAAGTCCATCCTTATATACAAGTCCTGATCCTGAACATGTCCCTTGTCCCTTGGGTCGTCTTGGGTCATTCTGATCCAGAATGATCGTTTAGCCCCCAAGTCGTGTTGGATCATATTGATCCCAAATGATCCTTATCTTATCATCACGTGACTTGTACCATAGTTCTTCCGTTCCGTGAGAGGGTGCCTAGTGTCCCTTATCTCCTGCATATGTGGTGTATTATAACCGCCGCGAGCCTGCGGGGCAGGCCCTGTTCTTGGTCATGCATGTTGGGTCGTAACACCAAGGAAGAAAGGAGATCCTTTAAGCAGACTAAAGCGTAGATCTCAAGTACGCCTCTGGATCCCAGACAAGCCCTAATTAGCAATACGGATCTTAATAATTATCTAACGACCTTACCGTCGACAATACCGAATTACCGGCTACTAAGAAAATTGCGAACACGAACTACGACGCGCAGAGGATTCTTTTCGTTTTTTTCCTCTCATACTGTTAATTCACGGGGTCGTATACGACAAATAGTGGTAGCAATTATCACTCGTCTGTTGGTGATCCTATTGCTTGTTCTTCTTGTTGCTCTATCTTACATTGTAGGCAGGAGTCGGTCGAAGTAGGTAGTGACGGCCTGGGTGGTTGCCCCACCTTTATCCGGCCGTGATGACTAAGCCAGTTGTCCCACTTCGCCCAGGGCAGGTGCCAGCCAGCCCATGGTACCTGCCTATTACTCCTTATCAGCCTTTGCTGTTCCAACACATAACAATCGATTAGAAGCAGATCACCGACCAGCGGTAATTCGTCTAACGTACATATACGCCTCCCGGGTGTCTACTTGGGGAGAAACGCCACGTGATCGA